GACACGATTGATGAACACCTGCTGGCTCCCTGGTGCCAAGTGTTAGCAAGGTTAAAGATCAGGGGAGGTCCTCTGGCAAGGGGCTGCGAACACAAGAGGTTAGATCACTGGCTAGATCCCAGGTCTCTGGAAATGCTTTAGGGTCCAAGAGGAACGTGCCTTAGACAGTGTGTGGCATTCAGTGATGCTTGTGGGTGTCTGCCCTCCTTTCCCCATCTCACCACAGGGCCACTGTGTGGCCACGCCATTTCAGGAACGCACACCTACAACCTGTGTTCTGTAAAAATTTCACCCACAAAATTATGCATGGGTGCCGTGCGTGCTGGGCCTGCCCAAGGCTGGACCATGCATACGGGCCACTCAGTGACACCTGAAATCATTCCAGCAGCTCTAAAGAGCACAGCTCCGAAGGGCCCCACTTCCCACCCCCACGCCGTTCCCCCAACCCCCAGCTCTGCCTGTCCTGGCTGAAAGAGAGAAGGGTGGACTTCACAAGTGACTGAGGGAATTTGGAAGGCTGGGATGCTGCGGAATGTTAGATCAGTAGCTAGAACAGCATGTGGCGTTCTTTAGGCAGGCTTCATTGAATCCACACAAATGAAGAAAGAGGGGCTGCCTGCCCGTCTGCTCATTTATCAAACAGCGAAGCTCAACCTTCACAGTGCCACAAAAGTGTTTTACTGTTTGCTGAGTCTTGCTCCAGAAATTAAAAGCTGAACAGCCCTCATGGGGCTGGACCGATCCTGTGGTTTTTTGGATACTCCCAACGAAATTATGCCGGTCTTTCAGATTCAGGGACCAGTTGATGATTTGGTGAAAGAAGAGGAGACTCATTTGTAATTTGCAGCCCATAAGAAACACTTAAAGAAAGAAAAAGGAAAGAAAAAGGAAAGAAAACGCCAAGCCTTCCCACAGAATTTTGTTGCGGCTGCGAGGAGGAGGTGCCACCTGCAACAGCCTTTTGCTCAGAGTGGGAAAAGTCCCAACTCTGCTGGGGCAGGCAAGATGTGGTGCATTACAGCCTCCTCCCATCCCCCACACCAACTCTGAACAGAATTATTTCCTGGAAAAGGCTGCTTTGCTGCTGTTGTTGGTTTCCTTGCTTGCTTAAGCTGGAGGAGGTGAAGATTAAGCTACTAAATGCCAAATACTCTCATCCCACAAATGCCGTACATAAGCTTGACCACTGGATTTAGTGTGATCCCCTAACAGCACAGAAAAGGGTGGACACAAGGAGGGCTGATTCTGTCGGCAACGGACTGTGCCGGGGGAAGAGGGTCTCAGTGCTAGCAGAAGGGGATGCAGGGTCGGCGTTAGGAAATGTAAACCTTTCGTTTCATCTGTTCACTTGTCTCCTTCCCTCCAGTCCCCGTCCTGGAAGCTTGTCTGTGTGGGCTCTCTCTTGTCCTGCATCCTTGCTCTAGTCCCTGACCTGGAAGCTTGTCTGTGTGGGCTCTCTCTTGTCCCGCATTCTTCCTTCACTTCTGAGTGATGGAGCCCAAGAAGACAAGCCCAGGCACCCGTCGCTGCTCTGCCTTCGCTCAGCTCAGGCCCCGTTCCCTGGATAAACGGCATTTCTTCTACAGACGAGACCTGATGCTCATGTGGCAGAAGGAGCAAAATACTTTTTCCAATCTTTCATTTTTTTTTTTTTTGAGACAGGGTTTCTCAGTGTAGCCATAGCTGTCCTGGAACTCACTCTGTAGACCAGGCTGGCCTGAAACTCAAAGAAATCCGCCTGCCTCTGCCTCCCGTGTGATGGGATTAAAGGTGTGCGCCACCACCCGGCCCAGTCTGTCATTTTAAAACACTGTAAAAATGTGTACGTGCCCTGCTTCCCTTCAAAGATCGCATCTGGGGTATTGGGGAAGAGGAGCAGCGGGAGCAAGCACCTGCTGGGAAGCACAGGACCTGAGTTCAGATCCCCAGCACTCTGGTAAAGCACCTGGCATGGCTGGACACAGGTCTGTAACCCCAGGGCAGGCCTGGGATGTGGGTGACACCGTGGCAGGAGGATAGCTTGCTGGCCACCAGCCCAGCTCTAGATTCAGAGAGACCCTTCCTCATAGAAACAGGGTGTTAGAATTCTCCCTTTGTCTTCATACACATCTACATACATACGTACACATCTGTATGTACCACACATCCTCGCACATGCATACACAGCACACACATATCACACACGTATATATCCATGTATACCACACACACACACACACACATACACATATCCACAATCACTACACACACACACAGTGTTTTGAGTGTATATTATGCACATTGGCTGACTTTGCAACTTTGCTATTGAGAAACTATTATGAGGCAAAACAAATAAAATACCAACAGTGAACATAGACACCATTATCCACAAAGATATCGTGGTTCCCCTCTTGACACACCCTAGGAACATCTTTGGTGGCCAATGAAAGAAGAATTATCCTTTTACTCTTCCAGTTTCTGGGTCCCATCGTCACCTCTCTGGTCGGCTGCAGCAGCCTACTAGCTGGTCTCCTGGCTTCTGCCCTCACCCTGTAGCCAGTTCCCCACTCAGCAGCCAGACTCACCGAGAGCCGATCCCCACCCCCCTTCTTTGCTTCTGGCCCTCTGAAGTTTCCCACCTCACCCCAAGAAAGCAGAATGCTTACAAGGACCTGCAACGCCCCCCCCCATGGTCTCTCCTTGCTCGTGGCTTCATCTCCACCATCTCCTCTGTCTCTTCTGCCTCCCCTCCATCCATATCCCCCCAGTCTTCCTGAAGGACCTCTGGACCCGCAGAGCCTGGAAGGAAGATCCTGGGGGTTCGTTTCTTCACTTCCTGTTAGTCACCACACCATATTGTCACAGGCAGTCCTTGGGTAGCAAACAAAAGAGCACCCCCACTTCCACATCCCAGCCCCTCCCACTTCCACATCCC